GGGGAACCAACCCCCTTTTTATGTTCCCCAAGGTTGGGGAGTGGAGGACAGAACTAGAGAGACAGGAGGGGCTGCATGCTCAGCTCTGGGTTTGCTCAGTTCTGGTGTACACACCCCCCATTAGGAGGCTCTATGTGCCCACCTTGGGGAATCCTGGGAATGCCTGGAGGCCGACAACTGCCATTCAAGCCTCTAAATCAACCCCCGCTCTGAAGCCAGCCCTTGTGTTTGAAATTCTATTTCAAGAACATATGTAATACCTATGTGTTTATTTTGTTTTAAAAATATGCCTAATACATGAGTATGACATCGAAACCATATTGAAGCATGCTCATAAAATGACAGGCATTCTCACACTGCCCATCCCCATCCTGGACATTCCATAAGTAACTTATCACTGTGAATCCTGTTAGACATAACCTGTACAACAAAGATGGACTTCTGTTCATGTGTGGCCATGCTATATACCTTATTACCTTACTGTACTGTAATTTTTCCTCATGAAACAACATATTTCAGGCATCTCACCCTACCAAGTCCTGTGGATCTGTTTATTTTTAACTGCCGCACTGCATGAACATTTCTGTACTGTGCAGTTACCTAGATTTTTAGAGAAGCAAAGCAGTCACAGGATTTTAAAAAGTCAAACAATACAGATTGGCAAACAACGAAAAAATAAAAGTCTCTTTCTTCTTCATCCTTACCCAGAGAGACTGTTAACAATTTATTTTAAATTGTTATTTGCTTTTCTAAACAGGGTCTTGCTCTGTTTCTCAGGCTGGAGTGCACTGGTGTGATCATAGCTCACTGTAGTGTCAAACTCCTGGGCTCAAGCCATCCTCCCACCTCAGACTCCTGAGTAGCTGGGACTACAGGCATGTGCCCCACTATGGCTATTTAAAAAACATTTTTTTTGAGAAACAAGATCTTACTATGTTGCCTAGGCTGGTCTCATACTCCTGGGCTCAAGCGATCGTCATGCCCTAACCTCCTAAGGTGCTGAGATTACAGGCAAACCATTTATTTTTGGTATTTAATTAAAATACTTAATTTTTGTAACAGGTTTGGATGTATAGTAAATTTGAGCAGATAGAACAGAGTTCCTGTATACCTACCCTTCCTCCATAGTTTCTTCTATTATTAGTATCTTGCATTAATGTGCTACATTTTTTACAATGAATGAGCCAATATTGATACATTTACTATTAACTGAAGTTCATAGTTTAAGTTCACTCTTGTATGCTTCTGTAGGCTTTGACAGATGCATAATGTCACGTATCCACCATTATAGTATCATACAAAATAGTCTTGCCTCCCTACAAATCTCCTTTAACCATCTAGTGGTTTCCATTATTGTTTTAAATAATGCATTCTTTTTTTAGTTCATTAATTCTAGATTGCATTTATTGATTCCCCATAATGAGAGGAGGGGAAACTATTGCATTATCCTTTTCCACCTCCCAGTTTTTGTCATGTACATTGCCATTTCATTTTCTCATTCGATAATTATTTGTTCAATTCCTACAGTGTATTAGGCAATGTTCCAGGTGCTGGAGCCACAGGGTAAAAAAAATAGATAGGCCGGGCGCGGTGGCTCATGCCTGTAATCTCAGCACTTTGGGAGGCTGAGGCAGACGGATCACAAGGTCAGGAGATTGAGACCATCCTGGCTAACACAGTGAAACCCTGCCTCTACTAAAAATACAAAAAACTAGCCGGGCGTGGTGGCGGGCGTAGTAGTCCCAGCTACTCGGGAGGCGGAGGCAGGAGAATGGCGTGAACCCGGGAGGCAGAGCTTGCAGTGAGCCGAGATGGCACCACTGCACTCCAGCCTGGGTGACAGAGCGAGACTCTGTCTCAAAACAAACAAACAAACAAACAAAAAACTCCCCGCTAGCATAGAGCCTACAAGTAAAGGAGATAGACAATAAATAAGAAAAATACAAAGCAGTGGATGCTAATTATGTGCCATAGAGGAAAAACTGAGCAGGGAGGGGATACAGCGTGTGTATCTACCTCTACGGAAGGGCGTTGTGGCTTTAAACAGGGTGTTGGGAGAAGACCCTACTGAGAAGGTAATATGTGAACAGAGCTGAGTGTGGTGAAAAAATGAACCATTTGGTGATCTGAGGGAGAGGATTCCAGACAATGAGGACAGCAGGTGCAAAGGCCCTGAGGAAAGAGGGTTGCCAAGTTCAAGGGATGGTGAGGACTGTGGCTGGAGCCAGGGAGAGAGGAAAGTACAGGAGGTAAGATCAGAAAGTGAAGGGCAGGTCTTAGAGGGCCTTGCAGGCAGCATCAATTACTTTGGCTTTACTCAGAATGAGGTGAGAAGGCTCTGGTGGCTTTTGAGCAAAGGAGTGATATCATCCTTAGTTTTAAAGTTTTTGCGGTGTTAATGTACATCTTGTTTTGTTAATAAATTGTCTTCAACACTTTTCTTTAGATTGAGTCTAACAATTTATGATCACTAAACAGAATTTATGTAAGATTAAGTAAATAGCCAGGCATGGTGGCTCACGCCTGTAATACCTACACTTTAGGAGGCTGAGGCTGGTGGATCACCTGAGGTCAGGAGTTCGAGACCAGGCTGGCCAACATAGTGAAACCTCGTCTCTACTAAAAATACAAAAAATTAGCTGGGCATGATGGCAGGCGCCTGAAATCCCAGCTACTATGGAGGCTGAGGCAGGACAAACACTTGAACCCAGGAGGCGGAAGTTGCAGTGAGCTGAGATTGCGCCATTGCACTCCAGCCTGAGCAACAAGAGCAAAACTCAATCTTAAAAAAAAAAAAAAAAAAGGATTCTGTAAATATAGAAAACAAAAGCTATGCTACTTTTTGCATCTCTCTGGGTCTCATTCTTGCCTCTATCCCACCTTATTCCCATCTTTCTTTCCACCTTGTCCTGGGTAGCCACCCAGAGGGACCCCTCCTCTCCACGTGGACTTCCTCCTTCTCACACAGGTGTGGAGGTGGTGTGGCTCAGCCCTAGCTAGAGCCATTTCCAGCACATTCTTCCCTGGGGCCATTTTGTAGTCTAGCCTGTTCCAGCTGGACTTAGATTTACTGACAGGGCAGATCCGCTTTCCCTTTGGGGTGGGCAGAGAGAGGAGCCAGCTCTGGGTTGCTACCAGGGGACATTTTGTCCATCAGCCCGATGTGGAGTTAACAAGTCAATAAGAATTGAGTAAGTGGTGGGGTGTGGTGGCTCATGCCTGTAGTCCCAGCACTTTGGGAGGCCAAGGTGGGCAGATCATGAGGTCAGGAGTTCAAGACCAGCCTGGCCAAAATGGTGAAACCCCATCTCTACTAAAAATACAAAAATTAGCCAGGCATGATGGCACATCCCTGTAATCCTAGCTACTTGGGAGGCTGAAGCAGGAGAATCACTTGAGTCCGGGAGGCAGAGGTTGTGGTGAGCTGAGATTGCGCCGTTGCACTCCAGCCTGGTAATAAAGTGAGACTCCATCTCAAAAAAAAAAAAAAAAAAAAAAAGAGAATTGGGTAAATATCTCTAGGGCCCAGCACTGCTCCAGCCCAGTGTCCCAAGAAGGTTAAGTCAGAGCTCCTCTTCCAGGAGATGGGTAGAGATATCTCAGCAACGAGGGAGGAGCAGCACCAGCCCACCTCGAGCTCCCTCCCCTGCTGCCCTCTGGGCCTTTGTCTCTTCTTTTATGCCACTGTCTACTCCCTCTCCTGGAGGGGCATTCTAGGAGTTAGGAGTTAGTTGTCGTCACACGTATGTGTGTGTGTGTGTGTGTGTGTGTAAAGAGCTGTGGATGAGACACTGAGAGTTCCCTTCTCTCATCTCCTAACTTTGGGGCTGCAGAGGAGGGCACTCCTATCCCCACAACAGGACCCTCCCTGTGTCTGTTAGGCTCTGCTCTTTGGGCAGGAGGATGGTAACACAGGGTGTAAGTACAAAGAGGTCTTATTACTGTCATTATTACATATCATTACTCCTATAAGAATCTATTATTAACATGTTGATGAATAGGCCCCTAAGAAACCGTGGGCCTGGAGGAACTGAACAAGATGGGGGCAGAATGAGGACCTAGGAGAGCCCTCTTCCAGTGCCTAGCTTAATCTCAGGACCCCCATCATTCTCTAAAGGCAATAAAAGTGGGGAGATGGAAGGAAGAACATTTATCGAGACTTAGATTTGCCAGGCCCTGTCTTGGGTCTTTCACAAATGTTATCTAACTTATTCATCAGGACAACTCCATGAGATGAGAATGAATTAATCCTCCTATTCGACAGATGAGGAAATTGAGCGAGGTCAGTAAAGTTGCCCCAGGTGGGTAGGACACAGCAATCAAGGGAGAAGAAGTTTGAACTCAACTCTGCAAAGCTCTTGTCTTTACACAATATTCTAGCCAGAACAGAAAGAGGCCTCTTCCCTCCGCGTTCCCCTCCAGTTCTGTATCCAGGAGAAGTCCATTCTAGGGGGAGGTTGAGGGAGGATAGAATCTGCGGAGCGGAAGGAAGCAGCAAGGCTGGAGCTGCGCTTACACATGGGCCTGGCTGTGCCATCGGTCCAGCGTCGGCCCCTCCAAGTGTGTGCGGTGGAGAGGACCGCAGACAGTGGCATGCCCAGGTCACGGAGGGGGTCCCTCCTCCCCCACTATGAGGAGGGCATGAATGACCTCAAGCCTCAGCTCTCCTTTGTTGGCACTGGCTACTTTCTACAGGCCTCCCCGCGCAGTGCATGCGGGTAGGAGTAGGAGCAGGTGGACTGTCCAAGCAGAGGCAGCGATGGACAGCCTCTCTTGGGTACTGCACAAAGAAATCGGCCGATGGAGGAGGAACCCAACATAGGCTTGATGCAGAGGCTGGGGGCCTCATGGCCTGCCAAGTAACCAGCAGCTGTCTGACGCCTAACATGCAACTGGTGCCACTGCGCGTTCGCCAAGCCCACCCCCTTGCTAGCAGCGCTCTCTCCAATCGGGGAGATGCGCCTTCCCCCCGCCCTTCCCCGCCATCTCCCCCTTCATTCAAGGCTTGGGGGAGCTGCAGTTCCGAGAAGCGGCAGACGGCAGCCAGAAGGCGTGGGCTGTTGAGTAAGCAGCCCCCTCTCAGTCCCAGCCCTCCCCGCCCCGCGCCCTGCGCCTCCAGTGAGTGACTGAGCCCCCGCTGCGGCCCCGCCCCCTGGGCTCTGCCGGAGCTGGTGCACTGCGCTGAGGGGAGGGCCGGCCGGGACAGGAATGCGCGGCGGGCGGGCGGCGCAGGAGGCGAAGAGCGGAACATGTAAGGGCACATCCCGCGAGCTGCCGCCCAGCGCGCAGAGCCCAGGGGAGCAAGAGAACGGGCAGGCGGCGTGGCTCACGGGCTAGGGAGGCGCGGAGGCACCCGGCAGAGGGGAGCCGGGCTGGGCCAGCTCGGGTAGAGCAGAGGAGGCGGTGCCGGCTGAAGCGGGGCGGTGGGCGCGGAGCGCGCGGGGGGCACCCACGCCACCTCATCGGCAGCCGGGTGCTGAGGGCCGCGGTGCGGGCGCGCCGGGCAGTCAGGGCGCAGGTGGGCAGCGCGCACGGCCGGCCAGCCCGGGGCGCCAGAATCCTGCGCTGCCGGGCCGAGAGTGGCGCCGCGCCCGCCGCAGCCTGGAGCTTTCCGCAAACCTCGGGGCGCCCATGACTGCGGCGGCGACGGCCACCGTGCTCAAGGAGGGCGTGCTGGAGAAGCGCAGCGGCGGGCTGCTGCAGCTGTGGAAGCGGAAGCGCTGCGTGCTCACCGAGCGCGGGCTGCAGCTCTTCGAAGCCAAGGGCACGGGCGGCCGGCCCAAGGAGCTCAGCTTCGCCCGCATCAAGGCCGTGGAGTGCGTGGAGAGCACCGGGCGCCACATCTACTTCACGCTGGTGACCGAAGGCGGCGGCGAGATCGACTTCCGCTGCCCTCTGGAAGATCCCGGCTGGAACGCCCAGATCACCCTAGGTCTGGTCAAGTTCAAGAACCAGCAGGCCATCCAGACAGTGCGGGCCCGGCAGAGCCTCGGGACCGGGACCCTCGTGTCCTAAACCACCGGACGCACCATCTTACCTTCATGCTACCCACCACCTCGGTGCTGAGGTCAAGGCAGGTAAGCCCCCGGGGGACTGGACCCTCTTCTCTTCTTCCCTTCTCATCTTTCCCCTACAGAGAGAATGAGGACTAGCATTCTACTTCACAGCCGGACAGTCTTAGGGGAGGTTCCTGGGGCCAACTGAGGGCATGGGAGGCCTGGGCCAGTGGCCAACCCAGCAGATCCGGACTTTGCCCTGAGGTGCCAGCCAGGTCGGCCCGTCCTGAATGTGACCCTGGTGTCTGAGAGGAAGATGGAAGCCCTGGGAGGGGGACCCCTGGGTGAGATGAGCCTTCCTACAAGTTGGTTCAGCCCTGACTCAGGTGGAAGGAAGCAGAGAGAGTCTGGCCTGCAGGTTGCACCAGGCTGTGGGGCTCTGCTTTCCACGTAGAGCAGGGCTCCTGGACTTCGGTTTTCTGGCAGCTGGGGACAACCGAGGGTGGGGACGCGGATCGCGGAGACAGACCCTCTTTCCCTCTAGGTTGAGTGCTTGTCATAAAGTTTGAGCATTGAATTGATGTAGAAAGACAGTATCTCCCAGTTAGCAAAGGCACCATCAAGCCTTAGGAATAGAGCCAAGGAGTCTGGCCCCCAAGGTGGGGCCTTAGTGGGCCGGCTTGGCTGGACTGGGCCTGAGGGATCCAGATCCTCCTGTGTGTGTGTGTGTGTGTGTGTTGTTGTTGTTGTTGTTGTTGGTTCTTGAGACAGAGTCTCACTGTGTCACCTAGGCTGGAGTACAGTGGTGTGATCTTGGCTCACTGCAACCTCCGCCTCCCGGGCTTAAGCAAATCTCTTGCTTCAGCCTCCAGAGTAGCTGGGATTACAGGTGCCCACCACCACACCCTGCTAATTCTTGTATTTTTAATAGAGACGGGGTTTTGCCATGTTGGCCAGGCTGGTCTTGAACTCCTGACCTCAGGTGATCTGCCTGCCTCGGCCTCCCAAAGTGCTGGGATTACAGGTGTGAGCCACTGCACCCGGCCTATATATATATTTTTGAGACACAGGGTCTCTACGTATTGCCCAGACTGGTGCAGTAGCCTAGTCATGGCTCACTGCAGCCTCAACAGCTTCAACCTCCTGGGCTCAAGCGATCCTCCCACCTCACCCTCCAGGTAGCTGGGACTACAGGCACACGCCACCATGCCTGGCTTTTTTTTTTTTTTGTGGATTTGGTTTTTCCCCACATTGCCCATGCTGGTTTTGAACTCCTGAGCTCAAGCGATCTGCCCACCTTGGCCTCCCAAAAGTATTGGGATTACAGGCGTGAGCCACCGCACTTGGTCCCCATTCTTAACAGTGGGTTTTGAGCCCTAGGGCTTACTGTTGGGAGAGCAAGGGAGCTGGAGGATGGGCAACTGCACCAGAGGCTAGGCCACTGATGCCAAGGGGTGGGGGCCTAGCTGTCTACCTGCTCCTGAGTGCCAGTCAGGCCTGGCTGTGCCAGGGGAGGAGAAGCTGGAGGAGGGCATGGGGCACTGGGTCAGGGTCGGTGGGTATAGGATGGGGTCATGAGTTGTTTGTGATGTCTTAATCCTCTATGAGCAGTAGGGCAGGGAGTGGGGGGCGGATTTGTGGTTAGGAAGGCCCAGGGGAGGGGCCAGGAATAGAATCTAGAAGCCCTGGCCCTCAGCCCTGTGCCCTCTTCCCCAGATGCCACTCCCTTCTTGTGAGAAGTAGGAGTAGCGCCGAGAAAGGATTTAGCCTTCCTTCTAGCCTTGATTTTTCCAGTGGAAACCTAGATCCCCTTCTCCCCACTACCACCTCCTAGGTGACCTTACTCGCCTGTAGGCATCTTCAACAATAGAGAGTCCTAGTGAGCCTGGGGCCCCATCTAGTGCCATGCCCCACTTTGATGGTCCTGTTAACGCCCTCCCACATTGTAGTGAGGGTTTAGTTGAGAAGTGGGGTATAAGGCAGATCCCTGTGCTGAGGATTGATCCACGTTGATCCTCAGGTCTTGGGGGCCTGGGAGGAAGCAGATTCCCTTGACCACAGTATGTATGCAAAAAATATTTTCCATGTTTATGGAAAAGGCTGGGAAGTACTGGTGTAAAATGCCCAACTCATAATAGGTACTCCTTTCCCCAGTGTTGCCCCTGCTCTAACTGCTGTTCTTTCTTGCCAGCTTCGTTGTTCCCTCTGGTTTGTGGGGGCATGGCTATGCTCCATGTGGCGAAGTGGAAGGCATGGGCGTGTGGAGGAGGCGCTGGAGCTGAAGGAATGGATGGACCCTGGGAGGAGGGCAGAAGGCTTCGCAGGGCTGAGAATGAAGATTCAGCCCCTGGATGGTCCCAGACTCTCAGGACATGCCCAGCTCAGGGGCTTCGAGCCACAGGCCTGGCCTCATATGGCATGAGGGGGAGCTGGCATGGGAGCCCCCTCCCTGCTGTGGTTCTGCCCTCTGTCCTGCAGACTGCTCTTAGCCCCCTGGCTTTGTGCCAGGCCTGGAGGAGGGCAGTCCCCTATGGGATGCCAAGTCAATGCCTCAGGAATCAGGAGGCCAGCCTGGTACCCAAAGGAGTACCCAGGGCCTGGCACCCAGGCCCACTCCAGAATGGCCTCTGGACTCACCTTGAGAAGGAGGAGCTGCTGGGCCTAAAGCCCACTCCTGGGGGTCTCCTGCTGCTTAGGTCCTTTTGGGACCCCCACCCATCCAGGCCCTTTCTTTGCACACTTCTTCCCCCACCTCTACGCATCTTCCCCCCACTGCGGTGTTCGGCCTGGAGGTGGTGGGGGTGAAGGGGGGGTTTGGCCATTACCATTTCATGTCTTTCCCCAAATGAAGATGCCCTGCAAAGGGCAGTAACCACACAGTTTGCCGAGTGAAATTCTTTGCCCACAAAGTCCCAGGTCTCGGAGCATCTCTCTCTTTATCCATATTCTCCCAATTTGCAACCCATTCTGAAATCTCCAGCTTGGATAGGCAGAGACACTACAACCCCAGTAGACAGGGCCTCGGTGGTCCTAGGAAGGAGGGCCCATAGATTCTGGACCAAGGGATGTCAAGCTGGTCAGTTCAGTCCCTATAGATGCCTCTTCTATAGGAGGCTACCCTGCCCCTGCTACCCTGGGAGAAGCCTCAGCTTTCTGGGTAGAGCTTGTCTCCCTGTCGTTTATACTCTCAGGCTGTATACATTTACACAGTAAGTTTTCCCTCCTGGCGGGTTAAAAGGAATAATTTCAACAGGATGAAGGCCTGGCATGGTGGCTCACAACTGTAATCCCAGGACTTTGGGAGGCCGAGGTGGGTGGATCACCTGAGGTCAGGAATTTGAGGCCAGCCTGGCTAACTTGGTGAAACTCTGTCTCTACTAAAAACACAAATGTTATCCGGGTGTGGTGGTGCACACCTATAGCCCCAGCTACTGGGGAGGCTGAGGCAGGAGAATTGCTTGAACCTGGGAGGCAGAGGTTACAGTGAGCCGAGATTGCACCACTGCCCTCCATCCTAGGTGACAAAACAGTGAGACACAGTCTCAAAACAAAACAAAACAAAAAACTGGAGAAAACTGAGGTATAGACAATAGCTGCCCATAGTTATACAGAAACTATTGATTGGGTAACCCTGAACCTTTCCAAGCTGTGGCCAGCAGTTGATTCTACCTTCCTTTCCTCCATTATTTCCCCATGTCTGACCTTCCGTGTTGCAAAGTAGTGGCCTACTTCAGAGTCTCTCTGGAGGGAGCAAGGAGGCTGAGTGGCTCCCTTCAGCAATTCGAAGTCTCTTTAATTGTTTTGTGCTTCCAACCTGTTTTGCTCCCCTTCAGATTTCTCACCTTCCAATCAAAACCCTGTCCTGTGCCACAGTCCCTCAGAGTCCACAAGAGGTTCATCTTGCTCATCTGATGTGTGAACTACATCACACAGTTGACTAAGAAGGTGTTAATTACAACAGAACTTTTATGAATACATACTTGCTGTATCCAATTGTACAATTGTCCGTGGGTGTCTTAATCCCACCATGGCAAATAAGCATCTATTCATGCAACCCTGATCAGTGCTGAGAAAGATGAGGGCTCAACTAGAATACTGTGATCAATTGGTGATACCTGCCATGGGCTTTGGGAGAAAGGTAGGGAGAATGGCGGCATTATCTGGGAGGTGGGCGTGGCTGGAGAGAAGAAGGTTGCCACCCCTCCCTTGATTCAAGCTTTGTGAATGGAAGGGGTTACCTACTTAATCCTATATAATAGCAGCCTCTAAAATAGAATCTTTGCTCTTCAAACCCAAGGGTAACTGATGGTGGGGGTTCAGGCATAAGGAAAAGATGTATCCAGGACTCAGAAATAGGGGAGTGGGCTGGGCGCGGTGGCTTACACATGTAATCCTAGCACTTTGGGAGGCCAAGGCAGGTGGATCACCTGAGGTCAGGAGTTTGAGACCAGCCTGGCCAACAAGGCAAAACCCTGTCTCTACTAAAAATACAAAAATTAACTGGGTGTGGTGGTGCACGACTGTAATCCCAGCTACTTGGAAGGCTGAGGAAGGAGCATCGCTTGAAACTGGGAGGTGGAGGTTGCGGTGAGCGGAGATAGCACCACTGCATTCCCGCCTGCGTGACAGCAGCGAGACTCTGTCTCAAAAACAAAACAAAACAAACAAAAAAACAAAATAGGGGAGTGGTAGTGAACAGATAGGATTGAGAGGCAAGACATCCAGCAAACTAAATGCCTTTACAGGCTAGGCACTGTGCTCAACTCTGGGGATGCAGAGGAGAAAGACAAGATCCAGTCCTTGCCTCAAGGAGCCCAGGTTCTGGTAACATTAGTTAATGCTAACTGGTGCCAATAGAACTGGCCACCAGGGGACAGGGGAGCACTGGGCAATACTTTCTTTGTCCAGCACTAGGGGTCGTTCTCAGAGCTTGGCTGCAAAGGGCAGTGGAGAGCATAGTTAGTATGAGAGATCAAGAGCAGAGGGCAGGTGGAGGGGGAAACAGGCTCTAGTTTCTGGCACTCTGCTTTTTTGGAACACCAGCCCTATTGTATGTATGCCTATTAAAGTATACCCTATTAAAGTATGCCTTGGTCCTTGACCAAACCCAGTTTATGTTTCTTGCTAGGAGAGTCCCAGCCCCTTGAAGAGTCTGCTGCTGTTAGAGCCCCTGACACAGACCCTAGAACGCAGTAGGCTCCTTGTATGCAGCAGTGTGGGTGCTGCTGGTTGCAATGGGGTGATCATTTTCTATCATTTGTAAGAGTCTGGGAGCTGTCTGAAGATTGTAAGAGCACTCACAGCACAGAGGTCTGGGGTTCAAGACCAGGTTTTTTTGTTGTTTTTTTTTTCTTTGTTGTTTTGTTTTGTTTTGTTTTTTGAGATGGAGTCTTGCCCTGTTGCCCAGGCTGGAGTGCAATGGCGCGATCTCGGCTCACTGCAACCTTCGCCTCCCAGGTTCAAGCAATTATCCTGCCTCAGCCTCCCCAGTAGCTGGGATTACAGGCACCCGCCACCAGGCCTGGCTAATTTTTTGCATTTTTAGTAGAGACGGGTTTTCACTATGTTGGCCAGGCTGGTCTCGAACTCCTGACCTTGTGATCTGCCTGCCTTGGCCTCCAAAAGTGCTGAGATGACAGGTGTGAGCCACTGCACCCGGCCAAGACCAGGTTTTAAAAAAGATCCATGACCTTTTTGGGGAGTCTTTACCTCTCTGAGGGAGGAGGGGCCATCCTGCTTCCTGGGTTCACCAGTGTTCTCACTGCTCTGGTTTTCATGACTTTGAATTTCCAAGAAGGAGCAAAGGCCTTTACCCCGGGAAGGCTTGGCTAGACCTCGGAGTGGGGTCAAGACCTCTTTGGGGGCACAAACAGGCTCTTATAGTGCCAGTAGACATGCATGAGATGGAAAACCTTTTTCAGTTGGGCCTGTGAGACCAGGGAAGGGCTGTTGCCACCAACTCTCCCTGTGCTTCGGCAGCCCCAGTGTGGCCTCACCCCTGCCCAAAACATGAGTCATCCATGGGAACATGAGACAGGGCAAGTCTCAGCCAGGCAGCTGGGAGTCCAATAAGGTGGGGTGGGGAGACCGAGGGAGAAGGGATGGGCTTGCTCTGGTCAGGGTGAGCTGTGATTGGGAGCTAAGGCTTTAGCAAGAGTGAGCTTGTTGCAAGGGTGAGAATGGAGACCAGTGGGGAGAGCCAGAGTGAGAGTTCATGAGCTGCAATCGCAGCAGGAAGGAGTAGGGGCAGATGGACAGGGCGTTACTGTATGTAATCCTGAAGTCTGTTGGGGATGTATAGGTACTGTGGGCAGCTGTCCCACCAGGGCCAGGACCCAAGGACCCTGGCAAGACTGACTGTGCAGGAATATACCTGTAAGACTGCACAGAGAGCCCTGGTTTTACCTCCCTCAGTCTCCTGAGGGGGTCCACTATGGTTCACTGAAGTGATCTGTCCAGAATTCAATTCATTCTACTAAAACTGCCAGCGCTTTCCCCACTGCAATGGGAGGAGGCCCACTCCTCGAAAGGGTCTCCTCTCCACTATCAGGGCTATCTCTCCAGTGTTTGTCTCTACATGCTCCATGCCCAGCCCCAGAATGCAATCCACCCCCATTCCAGGACCAGGGAAAGCTGCCTCACACTGCCAGACCAGTGTACCCCCACTCTTGCTATACACTTCTGTATCACTGGCTCAGCTCTCTCTCATGTCACCACCTCTGAGAAGCTTCTCTGACTGCCCTGCCTTTAGGGCAGGCTGAGTAACTGCTTGCTTCTCTCTGTGCTGCCATACCTCCTCCATTAGTCACACTGCCTTGTGATTGCTGGTTTATGCGTCTGCCTGTCCAACTAGACTGGTCAGTTTCTGCACTTGTTATTTGTATATTCCTGGTGCCTCAGAGTATCTGGCAAATGGTAGATTCTAATAATAAAAATGACAAGTGGTATATGGTGTTGACCCAAGAACTGTAAATTTTTTTTTTTTTTTTTTGAGACAGGGTCTCATTCTGTCACCCAGGCTGGACTGCAGTGGCATGATCTCAGCTCACTGCAACCTTGACCTGCTTCTGGGCTCAAGTGATCCTCCCATCTCAGCCTCCTAAATAGCTGAGACCACAGGCGTGCACCACCATGCTTAGCTGGTTTTGTATTTTCTGTAGAGGTAGAGTTTCACCATGTTGAACTCCTGAGCTCAAGTGATTCACCTGCCTCAGCCTTCCAAAGTGTTGGGATTACAGATGTGAGCCACCATGCCCGGCCTGTACAATTCTTAAATCATGTAATGTTTCAACAACCCTGTGAGGTAGGTGTGATTATCACGACTCCCATATTTTACATTAAGAAACTGAGGCCCAGATAAGTGGCTGGTTCAGAGTTACACAGCAGCTAAGTGGTGGAGCCAGGAGTCAGTGTGGTCACAGTGGGACTCTAGGTAAGGACTCTTAACCCAACACCAAATAGATTCTTACTGTTTGTGAGTAAATGAGTAAGTGAATGAACCCAGTATTTTGCTGGGAGAAAAGAGATCAGAGGAGAGAGAGTTGGCGAGGATCAAACCCCGAGAGGGCAGAGAAGGGAATGGTCTGTGGGCTAGGGGTAAGGGAGGCTTCATGGAGAGGATGACTGGAGCCAAGCCCTGAAAGGGTGGAGACTAACTGCAGGAGAGGACCCAGAGAGGTGTCCCATGGGCTGGGAGGCTCTGTGCATGCTCATGGGAGCTAGGCCTGGGGTGAAAATAGCCTAGAAGAACAGATGGACTCCTTTCTGTTAGGAAGGAGCAGTGAGGACTCTGGGGGAATAAATGGTGCTCCAGGTTCAGAACCTTGTTGCTGTATTGGCCTGAGATGCTCTTCGTCTAAGGACCTGGGCACGGGGTCAT